GTATGTATGTATGTATGTGTTTGTACATATACACATATTCATATGTGCATAGAAATAGAGATAGACAGTTTGTATGGCTGTAAGGATGGGTCCTAGAAGCATTTGAGTGCTTGTAGTTTTCGGCTTGGGAAGTCCAAGGTTATGGTGAGGATCGAATCAGTTTTTCACTTGAGAGTGTCGTTGGACTCTGGGACACATTTCACGGCAGGCAAGTCAGAGAAGGTGCCGGTAATCTTCGACAACATGCTGAGTTAGCTTGGGCTTGTTGCTTCCCCAGCAGCGCTTTCAGGCACCGATGCCCCTCATTCGAAGACGTTGAACCATCCCCCAAGCAACCTTCGTACTGCCATTGAAGACACCGACAGCAATCTGATGGGAACACTAGTAGCTTTAGGTGCTCGACACCAAGAGCCTCGCTCATCAGAGTTACTGATCGCCCTCGGCTTTGCCAGCCCAGGAAGAAGAAGCGCAACAGCATTGACGATACTCTGCTGATTCCACGGCGACAGAATGGGCTGTGACGTCTGGTTGTCTCTCATTTTTCTTCGGTGTAAGTTTTCATGTACCGGATGGATAGTGCATGGACAACAAAGGACAATCCTGAACACAAGCTGAAAGCCCCTTCCCTCCACCCTGGTTTCGAACATGATGATGGTTATGAACATCTGTTGTGATCAGTTGTGAATGGTGACTAGTACTGACACTTTTCTGTCGTTGGGTATGGTTTCTAGCGTCAGACAGTCCGACGTTTAGGTTGGGAACCTGTAGATAGTTGGGCCGTTTAGATACTTGGGCGTTGACATTTTGGAGAATCAAGCGGGTTATGGTGTCGGAGGTTTGAAAGTGTATACAGCATTACAGACTCGAGGAATCCTGCTGAGACCTCCAACAGAGGGTACAGGCTTTCGTGGCTTCATGTGCATTAATCCTACAACTCTCCTGAGGACGACCAGCCAACTCCTCCGCCGCTCCCGGCACACCTGCAGATCCTCAAGGAAGACCGCGACAGGACGCTGTTTTGGTTTGGGAGGGAATCGAACAGGTATGACAACGTCCAAAGTCCGTGCTGAGCAAGCGGCCTCGCGAAGCAGACGTGGTTGACTGATGAGTAGTTTACGAAAGAATCTCAGTGATCTGGAGGGTTTCTTATATCTTGTCAAGAAAGCGCTTGGAACCGCCTGCTTATGTTCGTTCCAACCAGAGCCCTTTATGCCATCAGGAGAAAGAACGAGAAGTTCGTTGTCAAGCAGAAGAAGAAGAGGGCCTTCACCACAGGGTGAGGTTGAATTTCATTGTTCTCAGCACTCTAGACTTTCATTGTTCTCAGCACTCTACACCCTAAATTGCCAATGAAAGCACCCAGGCTTCGTAGTCTATGCTTACTAAGCATGTGGCACCAAGTCGAGGCTCAGCCTTAAGAAGACTTTCTCACACGTTAACGCGCACGCGCAGCATGGGAACAGGGACTGTTAATTGTGCGCATACCTGGCCGGGTTCCATGTCGGCATTCCAGTCCATTTGGCTATCTGTAATTTGTGAGTCTTTGCAACGCTGCCAGGAGTGCTTCATGTCATTATGCATCCCTAGTTACTCTTAGTGATAGTGTTGCTTCACAACACGGAAAGAACACATCCCGTTCTTATCCAGATATCCAGCTCACCATTACCAGGCTGAGAACATGTTTTGGGCATTGTCCTAACCCGGTTTGACACACCCTGTGGTATCTTAATTCACGTTGGTGGTTAATGATCTGGGCAATGGGTGCTTCCCACATCTGGGAACCCCGTCAGCACCACAGCCGTCACCAGTTGCGAATAGATCCTTCCTGCAGTGTTTCGGTGCTGTATCCCATATCTACTTTGTAACCAATATGTCTGTCAGTTCTTTCCTGATTACTAATTAGATATACATGTGTATGTGTGTGTATGTACAAATAGACAAGTAAATCAATAAATAAATAAGTCAAAAAAATATATATATCGATCGATCGATAGCTTCAGTGCCTGGTTGTCGGACCTGGGGCTGCAGCCCCCAAAAAGTGGTAGAAGTCGCAGGAGCTCGACTGGCCAAGCCAGAGTTCATCCTTTGAATGTCACACGCCGGCACCATCGAAGCCACAACCGGACCTGAACCCCAAATTTGGAGCCCCAACCCCGAAAGAAACAAGAAACCTCGAATCAAACATGGCTCCCTCAAATCGGAGACCCAACCATTGAAGCTGAAGCAGATATCTTGCTTTGCTCGCAGCAGCATTGCCTGACTTGCTTTAATCCGACAGGGTGCTTTTCCGTCTCGTTTCACTGCATCAACAATCGTACATAAGAAGGCCCTGCTTTTGCCGGCAGTCTCTTTCTTCTGCGGCGTTGAAGGTCAACGACTCGGGGAGGAGTTTAGGGTTTGCAGCGCTGGTGCATTCGTGAAAACCTTCGTCAGCACCCATCTAGACACAAAGCGATTCTGCAGCAACGGCGTTCATGCTGTAGTGTTGAAACCATGCGAAACAGCTGCTAGAATTCTGCCGGGCAAAACAGTCTCACCCCATGTTTCGCCGACCGAATCGGCAACCTGCAAGAGGAAAGACGGAATAGTTTCGTCCAAGCTTCGGTTTCCAACAACCCATCAGCAGCCTTTCGAGTTATTTGGCACTCGCGTACGGCTTCGTTGTGCTAGCATCGCTATCTGAGCGCCCGCTTTGGAACTTTGTGCTGTTGGCTTTGAGGGGATTCGCTTCCTAGCGCCAGGAATCACGCCGCCCCGAGTTGCTAATTGCCTCTATGATCCCACGTGTATGACTCTCGATGCCGCCACCCCTCCTGCTGAAATACAGATATCGCGGAATCAGGCGAGGCAATACTCCGTTACTTGGTACATCCTCCCACACAGGCTGGTCCAATCTCTAAACCGAGGGTGCTTGAGTTCGATTTGGCCATGGTCGAAGCACCCTGTGAATGTGTCTTGTTGTCCATTTATGTCCATCTCGTGTTGCTCAAGACTGCCAGAGGCTGATGCATTGATGAGTTAGTGCTTTGCTCAACTTTCCTCGGTTGCTACAGGGTCTGCGAACTGCATAGCCCGCTCGGGGGTGTTTCCGAGGGTGTCTTCGGAAGTATGCCGCCTCCTGTGCGCTACAAGCCGCCTTTGCCGGTTCGTTTCAAGGCGCCGAGTTGCCGAGTCAAAGTAGGTAAAAGTTAAAAGCTTACTGTCGAAATTTTCCCTGGGACGGCGGGGTTAATCAGTTTGAGCACATGTCATTGCCTATCATAGTCGGCAGAGTCAGTATTTCATCATAGGGCGTGAGTCTGCAGGAGTTAGAGGTGTTGCAGGATTGCACGAGTTGACGTGTCGGAATAACCTGTAAATTTCGACAATGGTTGTAGAGCTCGATTCACTGTTCTGTTCAAGCGAGCGAGGAGCCTCATTGGGCTACCGCGCATTTCAACACGGCGCGTGTATTTGTTCATGAGCCTACAAGAAAGTTCAAGTAAACCGCCTCTGAGTGTGAAATACCGTGTGAATGTAACACTTTCAATGAGTTTTACCCGGTGAGCAGGTTCCGAAGGGCAACATTGTGCCCCTGGCGCCCAACGAGCCGGACATCCAGCTGGGAAAGGCACCCCTCGTTTCCCGAACTCCTTAACGTAGTCCTCAAGACGTAAAGGCCTGGGCCTGCTTGCAAAAGCTTACTTCCAAGTCCTTCGAATCCTGAAATTCTTTTGGCAGACACTGGTGGCTGCGAAGCCACATCGCATCACCGCAGACCAGATCGAGCTCGGGCGGCGCACCCTCAGGAGGCCGGAGACTTGAAGGGGACGTGGGAGGTTGAGAATTTACCACGCTGCAGGAGCCGACGCGTGTCCAGATTAAGCACCGCGTCTGACAGACAGAACAGCACAATGGCCACACAGCCTTCCGGCCACAAATGGCCCCAGTAATATACCCTAAAGCCGTGCTAGGTTGATGGGGCGAAAAGGCGACTTCCTGGTCAATGTTCATGCCACCTACGCAGTGTCCTGCCTTTACCAAGCTTCTTCGGTAGCTCGACTTCGCCTGCAGCGTGGCTTTTTACTACCTGTTGTCTCTATCGATCGATCGGTCTAAGGATATCTGGATCGATCTTTCGATCTACTTGTCGGTCTATCGATCTATCTGTCTATCGATCTATCTATATTTGGATCTGCCTATCTATCCAGCTGTCTAGCGATCCATCGCATTATCTAGCTATGTAACTATCTATCGGTCTCTCTCTCTCTCTCTCTGTCTCTCGCTCTCTCTCTCTCTCTCTCTCTCTCTGTCTCTCTCTGTCTCTCACACACCTCCCTGCCTACCTACCTACCCACCCACCTAGCTCTCTATCTATCTTTCGAGCTATTTGTCCATCCATTTGGCCCATCCATCCGTCTACCGATCGTTCGATCTGTCGGCTTGTCTATCTGTCTGTCTATCAATCTGTCTATATATCTCTCTCCATCTACCCCTCAACATCTATCTGCAGTCTGTACATGCATACATATATGCATTCATGCATGCATAAATACGGGCATGTGTGCATCTTCCTATTTGGGCAGAGTTGTTTCTATCTCCCTCCCTCCCTCGCTCCCTCCCTCCTTCCCTCTCTCTCTCTCTCTCTCTCTCTCCCTCTCTGTCTCTCTCTCTCTCTCTCTCTCTCTCTCTAGTTTTGGTCTGGCTGTATGTACTTAATATGTATGTATTGTGTGTGTTATGTATGTATGCATGCATGGATGCATGCATGCATGCATGTACGTACGTACTGTATGCCCATTACACTGCATGGCATTACGTTGCAGTGCATTACATGGTACACAAGCACATGCATGTATGCATACATGCCTACATGCCTACATACATACATACATACATACAAACATACAAACATACGCACGTGTAATGCGCCGATAAACGTCTGCACAAGTGTACCCGTATACATCCACTCACGCATATACACATACAACTTCCTTACTCGTAGGTGGCTGACGCTCGGGCTTGTCGGCACGGTGTGATGTTCGGCCAGTGATGTGTGAAAAGTCCAGAGCCTCAGCAGGGTGCAGACCCCGAATCCTGAACTCCCGACGTCATGCTGGACAGCCTTTATCAACCCTTGACTTGGGAAGTTCTTCGTCTCAGCGTGTCGTAGTCCTTTGTCGCACGAGCTCCCCCACCACAACTCCCTGAACAGCCTGTGAGAGCCTTGCACCCCTTAGACATCCGTAGACCCTGCACTGACGTTTGTGAGGTCACGCAGAAGCCCCATGGCACCATGGCCGCAAGAAGCTGAGGCCTAGATGTAGCTGCAGCTGTAAGTAAGGTGCGGAACAAGGCGCAAGAGCCACACAGTGTCGGCACGGTCAGTGGCACCCCGAGTCCTGTCTTCCGGGTTTAAGTCCTCTGGAGCTTTGCCGAGCTAGGCAGCCTGTGGCCTGCGGTCGAGTCCGTAGAAGTTGCCTATGCGGACTGAAACGTTGACGGCCCTGGGCAGAATCTGCTTCCCCTCACACTGAACCTGCTCTCTACATCACTGAAGCGTAAAGCTGTTGGGGACATCGTTTTTTTTCAACGCTGTCTCCTGCCACTCTCCCAGTTGTCAGTTGTGGCTTACAGTATGTCTTGTTGCTGCTACTGGTGGTGAAAAACACACACACATGCATACATATCGATGAGTCCAAGCCCCACGTGACTGAAATTGTCAAGGGGTGTTTCCAACGTGCCTCACATGTCGTGGAGTGAGAGAGAGAGAGAGAGAGTGTGTGTGTGTGTTTTGTTTATGTTCATGTATTTGCTTGTTTGTGTCTGTGTGTGTGTATGTGCCAGGAATCCAACATTGTCCGCATTTCGCGGCTTCTTATATTCATGACATTGAATACGTTTTCTGCGATGCAGAGATTACTCGCATACAGGCACCTTCTCAACGACTGCGGTAGGGTGAACGCCCTAAGATGTATCTACAAGCACCACATCACCCAACTCCCAGATCTTACCCGAAGGCCTGAACCTCCACCCCATCAGGTGTAAAGATGGGGCAAGGGAAGGGAAACATCGAGTACTTCGTGGCTCGCGTCCCTGCAGGGCGGGTGATGTTCAAGCTTCTTGTCTGCAGGTCCGTGCCCTTGGATGTGTGCTCAGATTGGGTACATCGAGGGGCTCGAAATCAAGCCTAGACCGGACAATTCAGATTTCGGGGTGGGATGGCCTCTCGGGATGTTCAAGTAACTCTCTCAGCTGAGAGTCAACGCGCAACTAGAAGCGTCGGCGGATCGAAGCCGCCCAGAACCCCACCGACAACAAAGCGATGAACACGTCATCAGTTCATGTGCAGGTTTTCCCAAAGCAAGCAATACGTGAGTCCTTCTTGCAGAGGGCTCCGGGGTGTGGGGCGTGGGCCTCCGAGATTGATTGCAAAGGACTTTCAGAAGCTAAACTGTCCAACTTCGAGGTAAACGGGCCACTCGTCTTTTGAGTGGCCGTGAACCAAGCAACCTGAGCCTTGGGTTCCTAGTCTGCCTTGTTATGAAGCCATGCTGACAAAGCTAGTAACTATAGTAGTGGTGGCACGGGGCTTAGAAGCCCTAAGAGGTTCACGGAAGACAATGAGTATCAGAGTATCGCAAGAGGAGCGGCCCGGAACTTCTCTTTGCTCCTTCCACTCTGAAGCGAAACGATCCCGAAGCCGCGAAGCCGAGACTTAGCAATGGTATCTAAAATCTAAACGTGTCTATATGTTCTCTATTCTCAGGATACCGTCCATCAATCCTCTGCCAGGCTGGGTTGGGACCTGTGCCAAACAATATTTTGTGTAGCGATTTCGATGTCGTTACCATTGCGTTCGTACCCAAGCGACAACATGCACTTGCGTACTTACAGGTGCGCACAGATTGTTCTGAAACGAGGTCTGCTGTTTTTTTGTGAGCTGTGTTCTAGCCTGCTGGGTTTATGTTTAACCAGGCTAAGCAGCAGTTTTGTTGCTGTGTCTTGCCGGAAAGGCTGTCCCCCCCCCGAGCTTCCAGAGCCTCGAACCTGCCTCCTTTCAAGTTCCGCGTTTCTAATATGAATGATTATTAATGTGCACTTGGGCTTCGATCTTGGATCCCTCACCCAGCAGCCCCGGCAGTTTCACTGGCGACTATAACTAGAATCTTGACGAGCCCTGGCTTTGCAGGATACAATCCCAATTTCCGGGCCTTCCGTGAGATCGCTGACAAGCACCCTGCCTGCACAAAGCCTGGCAATAGTTGTTGAAAGTATTTGCAAGGTTCAGGCTTCGATCTTTTCTCCTGCTGCTTGCAGATGTCTTGGGCTTGGGATGAGGAGCTGGGCGAGTGGCGCACAAATCAGGATGCTGTTTTGCGGGTAGGAAGAGAGAAGACAGTGGACGTGCAACCATGAAATGCTTTCAAGCTGCGGGGCATCGTTTCTTCTGCGGACCTGTCGCAGTTGGTGTGGGATCTTTTGCACTTGAGATTGCCGTGAGCCGTACTGACCAGCATGCTTTGCTTATGTGCCCGGGGAGAGCGGCACATTGCACTCACGAGAGCTATTGCCCTAACAGGACAATTGACACCACGACCAACGGTACTTTGTTGTTTATCGTCAGCTGTCTTGTTTGGTCGTCCGGGAGCCGGCCACCGCCTTGCAGTATGCTGTCGGGCTCTAGGAACATGTGTTTGGTTACAGAATAGTCTTTTGCTTGCAGGATGTCCTAAGTTCGATTGGGGCTTAAAGTTTGCTTACATTTCAATTTCATGTGTTTTGAAAGTGGGTTTCGTAGCTGGCTGAGGATGCCTATGGCGACGAAGTTCCGCCAGCAGTACAACGACTTCGGTGATTTGTCCAAAGGCCGTCTCTAGGCTTGGAGGAGATGCATTTGCTGAGACGGGAACATCTGATCTAGGTTTTCTAGGTCAGGACTGGTCAAAATTTCTATGCAGAAGGAAGTTGAAGACGTGGCAAGAAGAAAAAGCAGAGAGGGCAGAAAAGACCCCGCTAGAGACTCCACATCGCGAGTCCCTCTGCCAAGGATAGCGTTGCTGCTCTGATGATGGAAGCCGTGGAAAGCTTTTCACCGATACCAAGACAGGTCCTTGTTATCTTCGAGCTGCGAAGAAAAAGACGAGCTGCAGTTTCACGCCAACTCTAGGTGCATGTCAATCACTGCCAACAATCCGAGCCTGCCCTACGTGCTGGCTACGGGGTTCTGCCATGAAGCACAGGATCAGTACTCGTGACTTTGCTGGCGATTGCTGAGGTTTGGCCGCTCGTGTGGATGCTGATGCCGACATCTGCTACTGCGAAGCGAAACATGTGCAGCAAGCAGCTCAGTTTGCTGTCGTGGTCGCTTTCTCGATCCAGACCTCGATCACGTGACAGATGCATTCCCATATGTAAGAACCAATACTGTAACCTGCTGTAGATTGCTGTTTACATTCAGATGCCAATCCATCTAACATCGGCCGTGCATTTTGCAATCCGTCCACGTGCCACCAAAGAGCAGAAATTCACCTTGTCGGACAGGTCATTCTATGCCAGCATCGCACGGAATGAGCAGGGTAAACGAGACTTCGACAGCTACGCAGGCCACGGCCGCTGCTCGTAGCTGTCCTGACTTCGCGTAATGTAGTCTTCAGACTGTTGCGTGTCTTTTCCACGCGATCTGCAGCCAGGCCGAGTCTTAATCCTTGATGAAGTTGATGCACTGGTCATTGACGAAGAGCCCAACGAGCCGCGTCTCGACGCAAGAAGCAACGTCAGAGACCCGCAGGCAAGCCGAGTTTTGATTTGCATGTCTGGCTAGGTTGGCGAGTGTTGAAGGAACATCGGCAACATGAATAGTTTCATACAGCTTCACAGAGACCAGCCACATAGTGCAGTGTTGATGAAGTCTCAGAGGACCGCATCCTAGGGTGTCAGTGTTGTTCTGGGTCTGAATTCAAGGATTGTCCGTCGTGAAAGCGCTTGTTCGTGCACTCACTTGTGCATGCCCGTTTGTGCCTTTGTCGCGCTCGTGTCTATACAAGGAAACATGGGAGAGGTAGCTCTAGACGGAGTGTCGAGCGGGTGGGCTGGTGCGGATTGGGGTAGCACCCCGTCTTCATGACTGAGCCTGATATGAGGAGAAGATACGCGAGCTTGTGTATTTCATGTGCACATAAATTCTACGCACGTACCTACATGCGTAGGCAGAAGCTCGGTACTTTTGTTGGAGTCTCTAGTGGGCTAGCCGGGCTAGCAGCAGCTGGCAGCAACCCCAGGTTCGTGTACCCAAACACCGAGCCGGGGCCTGACTCGAATCGTTTGAGGTCATCCTATGGCAATTGACTTTGTGGCTCCAGGGTGTCAGAATTTGGCAGCAATGTGGAGTTTTACCTACTTGGTCGTGCAACACCATTCTATCTTCAAGTCTTCGGACTCCAGGCATGGTCCAGTTTGGATATGACGTGCTTTCTTGGTTTCATCAAAAAGGGGTCGGGGCATGCACTCGCGGAAGCAGCAAGCACTGGTAGTACTATAGTCGTCGTAGTAGCAGTTGTTGCTGTTGTTATTGTTGCTGCAGTCGTCGTAGCTATAGCCGTATCCATAAACGTGGTCGTAGTAGTCGTCGTCGACGTCGTCGTAGTTGTCGTGGTTGTCTTGGTGGTAACAGTAACAGGATTGGGAGTAGGAGCAGTAGCAACAGCAGCAGCATCATCATCAGCAGCAGTAGCAGCAGCCGCGGCAGCACCAGTAGCAGTGGAAGTTAGCAGTTGCAGTAGGACTAGTTAGTTGTAGTTGTAGTAGTAGTAGTAGTAGTAGTATTAGTAGTAGGAGCAGCAGCAGCAGCAGCAGCAGTAGTAGTAGTAGTAGGAGCAGCAGCAGCAGCAGCAGCAGCAGCAGTTGTACTAACAGCAGCAGCAGCAGAAGGACTTTCAGCTGTATAGTAGAGGATACTCGTTACTAGTAGCTCGATGGTGCAATCATAG